GAGAAGGTCTCCCCTAGAAGCCGCTGAACTTATCTGGGCCAATAAGATGCTAGACTCTATGCTAGGTATATGCTTGCAATGATGGAATCTCATCTGAACTTGAGCTGTGGTTATGCAGCAACTTGGAGGAATCCACCATGTGCGAAGGGTTATGGGAGAGGTGGGGGGAATCCCATTGCCTATAAAACTGTATCACATAATACAATGTTATTAACAATAAAAAAGGATTTATTTATTTTTATTACAGAGTCAGAAATACAGAAAGGAGAAGAGGCAGAGAGGAACATCTTCTGTCCGATCATTCACTCCCCAAGTTAGTGTAACGGCGGAAGCTGGGAACCAGGAACCTCTTCCGGGTCTCCCACATGGGTACAGGGTCCCAAAGCATTGGGCCGTCCTGACTGCTTTCCCAGGCCACAAGCAGGGAGCTGGATGGGAAGTGAAGCTGCCAGGATTAGAACTGGCACCTATATGGGATCCTGGTGTGTTCAAGGCAGGACTTTAGCCGCCAGGTCACACCCCTGGGCCCATTCATTGGGAATCTTTAGGATTGATTCACATCCCAGAAACACAGTGGGTTCAACATGGAGCTGCATAAGCAGCGATTCAAAGAACCAAACCCCAGAGCTCCTGCCAGGCGGCCAGCAGGCAGAACCTGGCGTCAAATGGCTGCACTGGCTGCCCGTTGACAGCTCACCATGTGTACGTGGTGGCTGGAGTCAGGGATCCCAGCATAGAGAAGCCCTGGCCTGAGGCCCACCAGCAGCAAGGAGGCTGCAGGAAGTTTAAACTGCCAGGCCCAAGGTTGTGCCCCTCCCCAATCCCATCCACTGCTCAGTGATGATGGCGGGTGGGCCCTGGCCCTGCCCAGTCATGGAAACCTCCCCCCCTTGGTTTACTCACCCTGAAGGGAGCAACCTGCGAGCCCAGGGACAGCTTACCACATGCACGCGGTTGCTGGAGCCACGGATCCCAGCATGAAGATGCCCTGTCCTGAGACCCCCAGAAATCAAATCCTATAGATTGTTGGTAAAGATTATTTTCCTTCAATTAAACTTCTTGTTGCCATTCCCTCTATTGCTTAGGACCAAGTCAAAACATATCTTCCCTGCCCTTTGACCGTAATATTCCATCTCTGCTCTTTCTCCTTGGTTTCTCTTTCTGTGAGCTGCAGACTATCCACCATTCCAGTTTCAGCTTCTTCAAAAAGGCAATCTTCTGCTTTAATACTTCCATTGCCTCAGTGTTAGCTGTTAGGGATTCCATGAAAAAAAAAAAAAACTGCCACAATTAAACACTAAATATTTATTTCTTCACAGTGTTGCAAGTGTCAAGCCCTGTTTATAACGATGTTAATATCAGTTATGGCCCAGACTCATCACCTCATTAATGTCAGTTACTTCTACATAGCGACTGTTTCCACATGCTCTCATCTTCTTTGGTATCGGAAATTAGAGGCTTCTACATGTGAAGTGTGAGGGCTGAAGTAGAAGGGGATTCAAAGCAGGGAGGTCATAGTTCTTAATAACTGGTGGCTACCCAGTGGTAATGGGTTGGTTTAGAACGTTTGTATTTAGGATATATTTTGAATGTAGTAGAGCTAATGGGATTTCCCTTAGTTTGATGGTTTGAGGATGCGAACCATTCATGAAGGGAGTCGAGGGGGATAGGATATGGCTTCTGGTCAAGAAGCTTGCTTTGATTATATTCAGTAGCCTATTTCAGTTCCTTTTTGCTTTCACTGGTGGAGTGGTAGCAGCCAAAATGAAGTTCAATGCCTTTGTGACTTCAAACTGAAGCAAGAACGGAAAAACTCATTTCAATGTCATTTCCACAGCTGTAGGAAGATTATGCCTAAGTGTCATTGCAAAAAGCTGAGACAGAAGCACAGCATGCAATCCATGCCTACCAAAGGGGTGACGAAGTACAAGCTGTGCGTGGACACATCACAGGCCAGCCAGTTGGCAATCCAGGTTTATAGGAAGAAATACATCACCAGCAGTGAACAGATACACAGAGAGAAGGCCAATGGCCAAAGGCCAATGGTGGCTACCCATGTGAGCAGTCATGCAACAAGGTGGCTACCAGTAGGCTACAACTGGATGAAGACCAGGAACACATTCTTTTTTTAAAATTTTTTTCTTTTCAAAGGATTTTATTTATTTTTTATAGCCCAATTGCAGAGAGAGAAAGAGGGAGAGAGATAGAGAGAAAAGACTGAGAGAGCTTCTATCTGCTGGTTCAATCTTCTATTGTCTACAAGGGCTGCCTGACCAAAATCAGGAAGCAGGAACTGCTCCTGGGTCTCCCCAGGTGGATGCAGAGGCCCAAGTGCTTGAGCCAGCTTCCTCTGCTTTTCCAAGTGCCTTAACAGAAAGCTTGATTGGAAGTGGAGCAGTTGGGACTCAAAACCTTGTCTATATGGGATGCTGGACTACAAGTGGAGGCTTAAGCTACCTTGCCATGGTGTTCCCCTGAACTGGGAATTTTCATCCAAAGAGGGAGGGGGCAGCGGTCTTAATATTGTGAGGGACCAGGAGGAATGTCACATGGTCCATCCTTTAGCTCCTTTCCTGTAAGATGTGCTGGAAAACCATGCACTTCCTAAGAGGAGTACAGCTACAATTTTGCTTTTTCTAAAATGAAACATGTTGGACTTCTAAACAATGTTTCTTCTATCAATAGTTCATGGATTTTTTGTATTGCAGAGTATTTCTGTATTGCCTTTATTATTTGTTCATTATTCAATTGGAGGAGATTTGGTTTGTTTCCTTTTTGTTGATTGTAAATAAAGCCTCTATGAACATTTGTATAGAAGTTTTCAAAATTCAATTTAAAGACTGAGAGACAGAGACACCCCACTCATTGGTGCATTCCCCAGACCCCCACATCGGTCAGCTAGTGCTGGGCCAGGCTGGAGTGGCAACCGGAAACTCAGTGCAGGCCTCTCTTGTGGCTATCAGAAACCCATCATGGAAATTATAATTGCTGCCCCGAATCTATTAGCAGAAGCTGGTGTCGGGAGTCAAAGCATGATATGGAAGATGTGGCATATTCATATTAATTAAAAAAAAAACTTATTTGTTCACTGTCCAGCAGCGATTGATTTGGTGCACGAAGCCTATAATAACATTCGTGGCGTGGACCTCCGTGATGGTCACATAGCCAGAAGCTTATTGCCAGGATCAGACTTGTAAAAGACAGGCCGGCATGGTGTCCTAGTGGCTAACGTCCTTGCCTTGCATGTGCCAGGATCCCATATGGGCCCCGCTTGGGAAGTGAATTGTCAGATGGAAGACCTCTCTGTCACTCCTTGAAGGGTGTCAAGTAGACATCGGGGGAGGGGGCTCCGATCCCTTTACATTTCAACAGCCAGAGACAGATCCCAAATGCATAATCAGCAAGTCCTTTATCTAAACCTGTGGACCAGGAAGTTTCCTGTCCATTCATCTCCATATCAACATCTCCCAGGCCTTCCAGAAGAGCTTCAATTAGCTTTTTGGCAAAAGATTCAACATGTCTTCCCACATATTTGAAAGGGAGAGTTATGGAGAAGGTGAGAGAGAGAGGCCTCCCATCTGCTGGTTCACTGTCCAAGTGGCTGCAGTGGCCAGAGCTTGGGGCAGCTGAAAGTAGCTGGGAACTTCATCCAGGTCTCCCACCTGAATGCAGGGGTATGGGCATTCAGCTCAACCTTTGCTGCTTCCCTAGATGCACTCAAAGGGAACTGGACAGGAAGCAGAGCAGGTGGGACTTGAACTGTTGGCCACAGGAGAAGTTGGTTTTGCTGGGGGTGCCTGGACCTGCTGAGCCACAATGCAGTGGGTAGACGTGGGCATCTCACCCATATGGGATATTTTTTCTGAGCATGCTGTTTCACTCAGATTTAGAATGGGGTTACTGTTGTCAAGCATGGAAAGGTTCAGCTGTATGAGAAACTGCAACGTTTTGCAATGTCATCATGAGTTCTTTGTCATATGTAGAAAATTCACAGCATGCCAGGACACGAATGGGACACGGTGGAATGGTTGAGATGAACACTGGCCTGCAAATCGCAAATGTTTACTTCTTGTGTCTTCATAGAAAATGTTTGGTGATCTTTGCTGTAAGTTTTTGGCGAATGGAAGTTCATGATCTGGTCGTATTAATTTTATAAGCAATTTTGCTCTCTCTCAAGTCAATAATCATCAGCACAATTCTTTTTTTTTAAATTTTTATTTAAAATTTTTTTTTTATTTTGACAATCCTTACATATTTAATTAGGGTAAAAAAGGTTCAAGGGCTACAGGGAAGTGGGCAAGACCATCACTTCCATACCGCTTCCTTCATGTATCTGAGGTAAAGGGGGATATAGAGGAAGAAGCCCCATCCAGTTTCCCACCCACCCTAAGTCCCGGATGTGGGGCATGCTCTGAGATACTCGATCAAGTGGTTCCAATAGTTCACCATTCCAGCACAATTCTTTTATAGAATTGGATAACCTAGGACCCAGCCCTGAGTCCATCCTAAGCCAGTAGTCAGGAATTGCCTCTGGGTCTCCCATATGGGTGCCCTAGGCTAAAGTCCTTGCCTTGCATGCACAGGGTTCCCATATGGGTGCTGTTTCATGTCCCAGCTGCTCCACTTCCCATCTCCCTGCGTGTGGCCTGGGAAAGTAGTGGAGGATGGCCCAAAGCCTTAGGACCCTGCGCCCACATGGGAGACCTGGAAGAGGCTCCTGGCTTCGGATCAGCTCAACTCTTGCCGTTGCAGCCACTCTGGGAGTGTGCAAGTGGATGGCAGATGTTTTTTTCCCTTCTCTCTGTAAATCTGCCTTTCCAATAAAAATAAAGAATTTTTTTAAAAAGCGGGATTACTCAGCAGCTGCATTTAAAAACCCTGCTGTTGATACAGGAAAGGCTTTTACATTAACTGGGAAATACGCTATTGAATAGCACATATTAAATACAAAAATGCTCACGTTTTGCCGTAGTCTGTGATCATTGGTGTTGATGCTTAAGGGCCTAGACGTGATCCTGAAGTCTTGGCACGCCGCGCTGCCTTCGGCATACGCCCCGCCCCGGAAGTGCGTCGGGAAGCCGGGAGCGAGGCTGCAGGGCGCCGCGCCGAGGCCTGGCGACGCGCAGCCCGTGCGCACGCGCACACGGCGCCCCGGCGCGGCCCGGGAGGAGGGGCGGGGCCCGGGCCGGCGTCTCGCCTTCCAACTGCAGCTGGCGGCGGCGCCATTTTGAACGTGCGGCTCCCGCGGGCGTGAGTCACCGGAGGTCGTCTCGGTCCTCTCCTCGCTCGCGTGCCCAGCTCTATGTAGAGTCGTCCACGCCCCGAGAGCGAGGCCCGCCACCGGTATCTGAGGCGAACGCGTTGAGATGATGCTAAGGGGCAACCTGAAGCAAGTGCGCATTGAGAAAAACCCTGCCCGCCTTCGCGCCCTCGAGTCGGCGGCGGGAGAGACGGAGCTCGCGCCGGCCATGGCGCTGACGCTGGCCGGGGAGTCGGCGCCGGCCTCCGCCGCGGCCGCCGACGACCACCCCGAGGAGGAGGTGGGCTTCACCATCGACATCAAGAGCTTCCTCAAGCCGGGCGAGAAGACGTACACGCAGCGCTGTCGCCTGTTCGTGGGCAACCTGCCCACCGACATCACGGAGGAGGACTTCAAGCGTCTGTTCGAGCGCTATGGCGAGCCCAGCGAGGTCTTCATCAACCGCGACCGCGGCTTCGGTTTCATCCGCCTGGTAAGGCTGGCGGGCGGCCGAACAAAGGGGCGGCCGACGGCTCGGACCCCATCTTGGGTCTGGCCGCATGTTCCCCCGTGGGCGTGGGGGGCCAGCGTCCCGATCGGCTCCCTGCAAGGCTTTCCTGGGTCGGGAACCCCATTCTCTGCCCTTCCCGGCCCGGCCCCGCGGGGTCCCTCTGCAGGGAGAGCTCGCCCCTGCTTCTCCGGGTCGAGGGAAGATGGTCTCCTGGCACCGGGGGCTTTGTGCCTCCTGCCCGCTGCTCGTCCACGCGGGGAGCGGACGCCGTGCCCCGTGGTTTTTGCAGTGTGTGAGCCTTGAGGAGGGGGTTCACACTCAGCAGCCAAGGCCAGCTCTGTTGGGGTTCCTCGGCGCGAATTCATCATTGTCGTCAACGCTGCAGGGGCATCCTTCCCCAGCCGTCCTCTCTGTTTCAGAGCGGGCCTGTTCTCTGTGGTTTTGGTGGTCGTTGCGCACAGGCAGCTTTTCTTACCGTCCCTTGAACTTTCTTTTTTTTTTTTTTTAAAGATTTATTTTTATTATTTTTTCATTGGAAAGGCGGATATACAGAGAGGAGAGACAGAGAGGAAGATCTTCCGTCCGATGATTCACTCCCCAAGTGAGCCGCAACGGGCCGATGCTATGCCGATCCGAAGCCAGGAGCCTCTTCCGGGTCTCCCACACGGGTGCAGGTTCCCAAAGCCTTGGGCCGTCCTCCACTGCTTTCCCGGGCCACAGGCAGGGAGCTGGAAGGGAAGCAGGGCTGCCGGGATTAGAACCAGCGCCTATATGGGATCCCGGGCGTGCAAGGGGAGGACCTTTAACACTTGCGCCACCGCGCCGGGCTTTCAAAATCGAATTTGGGCTGTGTGTGGACAGCGCCAAGTCTTTCATAGGAGAGACGGTTGTGATTTTGTTTTTGTTTTTTTTTTTTAACAGACCCACCTCTGAACGTCCAACTGGGGTTAGTGAAACATAAGGACTTCTCCTTAAAATTCAAGTGAAATAATCACTGCACTTTGAAGACGTAATTACAGATAATGTACTTAGTACAGCTTGTAGAACTAGAGAAAACTTGTGTACATGCAAAAATTATCTTAAGGAAATTAGGTTTTTCACAGTGAAGGAACTTTGGGTAAACTTGCCAAAAGGATGTTATGTAACATGCCCATCATGCTTGGCCCCTGGCACCATCTTACTCCGTGCTGAAATGGGTATTTCTGCAGGCACAAGAATGAAGGGGCCGTACGGACCTCTTTAAAAAGCCTTTTGCTTGAAAACAAACCGGAGAACAAACCCATTGAGGAGAGGAAGGCTTTTCCTTATCTTTCAGGCTGCTGCGGTGACACTTGCCTTGGTTGGCACACCCCGGGTGTCCTGTGGAGCTTGCTGTCAAGATGGAATGGTTTTTCCTTTGTAAACATGGCTGGATGAAGTTGTGTGATGTGTTATGTATCCATTCTTTAAATAGGCACGTGACAGAGACCACTTGTTGTGTTGGATAGCACGGCTCAATTGTGGTTAAAAAAAAAAAAACAAACCGGTTGCACTAGCAAATGAGAGATGAGAAAGGCCGCCCCCCTGTCTTGTGCTCCCCCCCATTGGCACTCCAAATGCTCTGTGTAGCAATGTTACAAGTTTGTTACAAAATTTGACTATCTGGGGGAATATTGCAGTTTGATTTCAGCTCTGAACCAGGTCAATTTTAAAATGCATCAAATATTTTTTTACTTAGACAACTCGATACATACTTGATCTAAATATAAATATTGGTATAGTGGCTTCAGTGACTGGATGTATTACGCTTGCTTTAAAATATCAGTGTAATTTTATCTGATTTACATTTTTGGAAAGAACTTTGTGGATAAGCTTTTAAGTGCAGTACATTTTCTTAATAGTTGTGGGTTTTCTGCTTAATTCATGGGGTGAAATAAATTGATACTGTGTGGAGTCAGTAATAATAGTATGTATTGGTTGGGAAAAGATACTAAGTGGCTGTTCATGTAAGATCGTAATGGGAGGTGGTACAGTGGCTCAGGAGGCTAGTCCTTCACCAGTGGGTGTCAGGCCACCAGTTCTAGTGCCCGTTGCTCCACTTTCAGCACGGCTCTCTGCTTGTGGCCTGGGAGGAACAGTGGGGGATGACCCACTTCCTTGGGACACTGCACCCACATGGGCAATCTGGGGGACCCTATTGGCTCCTGACTTCAGGTCAGCTTAGCTCCAGCTGTTGCAGCTACTTGGCGAGTGAACCAGTGGATGAAAGATCTTTCTCTGTGTTTCTCCTTCTCTCTGTAAATCTGCCTTTCAATAAAAATAAACTTTTTATTTTTAAAGATTTGTTTTTATTGGAAAGGCAGATATAGAGAGAGAAGGAGAGACAGAGAGAAAGATCTTCTGTCCACTGGTTCACTCCTCAAGTGACCATAACAGCCAGAGCTGAGCTGATTTGAAGCCAGGAGCTTCTTCCAGGTCTCCCAAGCAGGTGCAGGGTCCCAAGGCTTTGGGCCGTGCTTTATTGGGACACAGGTAGGGATGGGAAGTGGAACAGCTGGGAGAGAAACTGAGCTGGTGCCTTCATGGGATCCTGGCACCTGCAGGGTGAGGATTTGGCCACTGAGACAGGACTGAGACTTTTTTTTTAAGATCACAGTTCATATTGTGAACTTCTGTTAAATTAAGGATAAAGTAGCCTGCGTGTGCATTTTCAACACATTTTACTATGGACTTTAGATTAAAGTTAAACTAACTGAAAAGTTGTACTTTTCTTTTAGAGATCTATTTCTTTTATTTGAAAGGCGGATTGCGGAGAGCAGGACAGACAGGATCCTCCTCTCACTTGGTCACCCTCCATTGACCTCAGTGACTGCAGCTGAGTCCATCCCAAGCCAGGAGTCAGGAACTTCCCCTGGGTCTCCCATGTGGGTGCCAAGGCCCTGAGCCGTCCTCCAGTGCTTTCCAAGGCCACGGGCAGGGAGCTGGATCAGAAGTGGAGCAGTCAAGACTGGAGGCGCCCATATGGGAAGCGGTTGAATACATTTTAAAATTAGTTCAATATAGTTAAACCGGTCTCAGTTTGTGTTGAATTATTTTCTGCTTTTGGTTTACTAAACTGTGTATCTGTAAGGGTAATTCACAAAGTGGTGGTCCATGTCCAGCCGTTTCAGATCTCTTAGTCTGTGTAGGCCGCTGAAATTGTGGACCCTGGGTCTCTAACATCTTCTCATTTAATCTGTTCACTGAGAATCTACAAGTGGCCTGGGAAAGCAGCGGAGCCTGACCCCAGTCCTTGGACCCCTGAACCCCAGTGGAGACTTGAAAGAAGCCCCAGGCTCCTGGTGTGAGATTGTTTTCAGTTGCAGCTATTGTGGCCATTTGGGGAAAGAAGCAGCATGTTGATTTCCTTTTGTTATTTTTACATATTTTTGTCTTTGTGAGAAGCAGAGACGGAAGTGTTCTGCTTGCCTCTGCACTCCCAAGGTGCCTGCAACAGCAGCTTGGGTCTGGCAAACCAACCCAGAGCCTAGGACTCTGTTGAGGTATGCTGTGGCCCATGGGGAGCCAAGCCTCTGTGCCACCAGGGGCTGCCTTCCTGATGCATTATCAGGAAGCTGGAGTGGAAGCAGAGTGACCTAGAACTGGTGTGAGTTTGGAAATCAGAGTTACGGAGAGAGAAGGGGAGAGACAGCAGGCTGCATATGGGATCCCGGTGTGTGCAAGGCAAGGACCTTAACTGACACGCTATCATGCTGGGCCCAAAATTTAATATATCTTTAACATTTTTTCATGTCATTAGATTCTCTTGTTAACATGGAACATTTCACAATATGGATATATTGATAGTTATTTAATACATTTTTATTAATTGACTTGAAGCTTAATTACGGTTGTAGCAACAGATTTTATTTGAATTCTTTTTCATTCTGTGGTTCTTTAGGCTCATGATTTTCCCTTCCACTCTGTCTTGTCCCCTCCTTCCCAGTGGATTTCGTTGTATTCATTAACTTAGCAGCTTTGTAGTGGGCAATTTTAATTAGCTGGATAATAAAACATTTTCGGGGTTTTTTGTAAGATTTATTTTATTTTTATTACAAAGTCAGATATATAGAGAGAGGAGGAGAGACAGAAAGGAAGTTCTTCCATCCAACGATTCTCTCCCCTAGTGTCCGCAATGGCTGGTGTTGCACCATTCCGAAGCCATGAGCCAGGAGCTTCCTCTGGGTATCCCACACGGTTGCAGTGTCCCAAGGCTTTGAGCTGTCCCCAACTGCTTTCCCAGGCCACATGCAGAGAGGTGGATGGGAAGTTGAGCTTCCACGATTAGAACTGGCGCCCATATGGGATGACGGCGCATTCAAGGTGAGGACTTGGGCTGCTAGGCCACTGTGCCAGGTCCAAATGCATGCATCATTTGTTTAGTTCAAACTCTTGTGATTTATAGAGCGTTGTCATCTAACTATACCTCATCTATTTCAAGTTTTACTTGACAGTGTTTTTTCAGATTTGAGTAAGAGAGAGAAGTCATAAGCGAACACATGCTTTCGGCCATTAGTTCACCCCTTAGTTACCCAAAACAGCTGCAGGTGGGACCTCAGCCGCTGCCTCCCCAGCGTCCACATGAGTGGGAGGTTTAATCAGGAGCTGGAGCTGGGGACCGGGTGTGGAGCTATAGACATTTGAAGCATGAGACCAAATACCCACCCTGTACTAAGAACTTTTTTTGTTTCATTTTTAAAAATTTATTTTTTTTTTGGGCCCAGCACCATGGCGCAGTGGTTAAGGTCCTCGCCTTGCACGCCCGGGATCCCATATGGGCGCCGGTTCTAATCCCGGCAGCCCCACTTCCCTTCCAGCTCCCTGCCTGTGGCCCGGGAAAGCAGTCGAGGATAGCCCAAAGCCTTGGGACCCTGCACCCACATGGGAGACCTGGAAGAGGTTCCTGGCTCCTGGCTTTGGATGGACTCAGCTCCAGCCGTTGCAGCCGCTTGGAGAGTGAACCATCGGACGGAAGATCTTCCTCTCTGTTTCTCCTCCTCTCTGTATATCTGACTTTGTAATAAAAATAAATACATCTTTAAAAAAATGATATGAAAGAAAAAGGGGAAGTCTAGATTCATTAAAAAAAAAAAAAACAAGAAAACCAGGAGCCTCCTCTGGCTCTCCCACATGGTGCCAGGCCAAGGGCAGAGCTGGAAGCTGAGCAGCCATGGCTAGAATAGTATGGGATTCTGGAGGCAGAGGATCGGCCTGTTGAGTCCCTGCGCTGGCTCCCCAGAGTCTTAGGAGTCCCAGCCGGAAATCTTCCTTGCAGGGTTGTTGCATTGTATGATGTATTGCCTAGGAAAGTGCTCTTCTTTATAGGTGTTTAAATAGTATGCTGTGCTACTACTCGGAGTTAAGGGTAATAAAGGCACGATTTTGAATATATCTGGAAGTGTTAACTTATTTTATCTTTGCAAAATATAGTGGTATAGATGAATATTCACAAGGTGTCCTGAGCACTTTAGGGATTGTGTAAGGAACTTCTTGACCTCGAACCATTTTTCTTAAGGTAGTATACTTGTGGTTAACCAACATGTGCCTCTGAAGCTTCTCTCCTCCCTGGAGAGTGCCCACAACGCAGTGGGAAAGTATGTGACTATTAAGTTTATGTGTTGTTGTCATTTACATGCTGGTAGTAGATATCAAGTTTGAATTCCAGTGGGGGGAAGTTACCTGTGATCTCGGCATTGGATGTATTTTCTAGTTGCAGATGTCCGTGTGCTTTGTTTATTCTGTTGCAAGTCAGAGGTAGAGAGGACGGAGGTCTGCTGTTGGCCGTAGGCTGGGAAGTGCAGCGGCTGGGATCTGAATCCCTGTGGCTGTATGGGACGACTGGGCTGCAGGTGGAGACTTGGCCGTGTGCTCAACTTCCATCAGTATCAGGGAGAGGCATCCGTGTTGTGGCACAGTGGCTTAACCCATTCTTTACAGTGTGGCATCCTGTGTGAGTGTGATGATTCCAGTCTTAGCTGCTCCCATCTGCTCTAGCTTTCTGCTGTGCCCGGGAGGGAAGTGGGAGTAGATCAAGCACTTGGGCCTAGCCACCACTGTGGGATTCCCACACGGGAGCCTGACCCAGACCTGGCTTTGTGTGGCGATATAGGTGGTAAAACGAGTTTGGAATATTCACCCCACCTGCATCTCTCTTTCTGCCCTTCAAACAAATAAATAAACAGATAAATCTTTTTTTTTTTTTAAGATTTATTTTATTTTGATTACAAAGTCAGATGTACATAGAGGAGGAGAGACAGAGAGGAAGGTCTTCCTTCCACTGATTCATTCCCCAAGTGAGTGCAACGGCCGGTGCTGTGCGGATCTGGAGCCAGGACCCAGGAACCCCTTCCAGGTCTCCCACGCAGGTGCAGGGTCCCGAGGCTTTGGGCTGTCCTCAACTGCTTTCCCAGGCCACAACTCCTTTCCCAGGGAGCTGGATGGGAAGTGGAGCAGTTGGGACATGAACTGGCACATTCAAGGCACATCCCGGCACATTCAAGGAGAGATTTAGCTGCTAGGCTGCCACCCCTGGGGTGGGACCTGGGGTGGGACTTTTAATAAAAAGATGTTGTGACAGACCATTAGTCATTTCCTAAAGTCACTTAGCTCTCAGTAGAAGCAAACGACTATTTTATATTTTTGTGCTGCTGTCATATTTACAAAATGTTTTTTCCTCCTGAAAAGGAATCCAGAACACTGGCTGAGATTGCCAAAGCAGAGCTGGACGGCACCATTTTGAAGAGCCGGCCTCTCCGAATTCGGTTTGCTACACACGGAGCAGCCCTGACTGTCAAGAATCTTTCTCCGGTTGTTTCCAACGAGCTTCTCGAACAAGCGTTTTCCCAGTTTGGTCCAGTTGAGAAAGCTGTTGTGGTCGTGGACGACCGTGGAAGAGCTACTGGAAAAGGTTTTGTAGAATTCGCTGCAAAACCGCCTGCGCGAAAGGCTTTGGAGAGATGTGGAGACGGGGCGTTCCTGCTGACCACGTAAGTGTTAAGCTCTGGGCCTCCCCTGCCTGGCCACACACGCACTTGCCTCTGCTGTAGAATTCTACCTTTCCTTGCACTTCATACTGTTTTGGCGTATGGTAACTATGTATCGAGTGACTATTCAATATAAATAAGGAATTTTTGTGTAATGCTAGAGTCAGCTTTCTTCAAATATTCATAATTAAAATTTCAGCAATGTTTTATGATTTTCACTTAAGGGACATTGATAAATCTTGTTATTTAAAAATGCACTAAAATTTTGTTTTCTTTGTGGCAGAGAGGGACATAGAGCAGCCAGGACACACACTCGCACCGTGTGCGAAGCCTGTGCTGCAGGGTAGAGGGCATTAGTCACTTGAGCCAGAACAGAAATTTTCATCAGCTTTATTTATTTAAACATCTTGTGTGTATAAATTTCCATGTACCTTAATAAATGTCCTACTGTGCACTAGTCAGGAACACTTCTGTCATCCACTTACTCAAATATTTGATTATATTTAATTTTCCTTATCTGAGATAGCTAGTGATCTGTATACTACTGTAGATTACCTTTTGTTAACTAGTATTAAAGAAAGTATTTGTTGTTTTGTGTCTGGTTTATACATTTTTATTTTTCTAGATTCACTTACTTGAAAGGCAGGGTTGGGTAAAGGGAGGGTATACCTTCCTCTGAACAGGTTCAGTCCAGGTCTTCCACATGGCGGCAGCAGCCAAGGACGTGGGCTGCATCCTTTGCTTTTGGGTGCATTCATTAGCGGGAAGCTGGCCAGAGGGTTGGAGTAGCCAGCTAGGATTCAAAGCTAGGCTTAACCCACTGTGCTGCAATACTGCTGGCTGTGTGATTTGTTTTGCGTAACATAGTATTTTTGAATTTTCATTCAAAGATTGGTATCATTCTGAGAACCGTATTTTGTTTTTGTGGCTGAGTCTGATTCCATTGTGTAGACATAATAGTTTGCCCAATGGTTTATATATGTAAATACTATTTTAGTTATTTTCAACTATTGGCTGTTGTGACTAAAGCTATTTGAACATTTGTAGAAGGCTCCTTGTGAGTATTATGTTTTTGTCTAGTTTGGGTAAATTACTGTGTGTTGAACTTTATAAGAAACTACCAAATTGATTTTCCAAAGTAGCTATGCCAGGAGTTGCTGAGAGATATTTAGTTGCTCCATATTCTCACCACATTTGATGTTTTTAGTCTCATAGTGGTGTAACTTTTACTCTCCTGGTGACTGATTTTTTTTTTTTTTTTTATAAATGCTTGATACTATTTGCTCAATTTTAAATTTTGGGTGCTTTCGATTTCTCACTGAAAAATCTATGTGCATGTATCTATTTCCTAGTCTGTAGCTTGCTTTTTAACTGTCTGAGTTAGAGCAGTTTTAGTTTGTTTTGTCTGCACTCACTGGCAAGGTACCGTGGCCTAGCCCTAGTGGTCACATCGATTCTGGCTCTCATTGATAGGTCCTGCAGCCTAGCCCAGCCTGGTCCACCCTCAGACCAGGCTGTTACGTGAACTGGTAGGAGCCATGGCCTAGCCTGGCTTGTCCCTCATCTGCTTTGACTTTTGTGAGGACCAGTGGGTGCTGCAGCCATGCTCAGCCCTGGCTCTCACACTGCTCAGGGTGCAGCTGCAGCCTAGCAGGGAGTCCCCAGAGTTCCCCCACCAGGCCTGTTCCCAGCCCTGGGTCTTGCACATGCTGATGGGTACTTAAGTCCTACTTCAGTCTAGCCAGGAATGGCCCACCTGCAGTCTCAGCTGTCACTGGCTGGTGTGCAGCCTAGCCCAGGTGGGTGTGGTCCATTCCCTGTCCTGGCTCTTTGCACACCAGCAGGTGCTGCAGTCCTGCTTGACCTGGGCTGTCTTCAGTCCTGGCCTTTGTATGTGTCAGTATGTGCTGAAGCTTGGCCCAGCCAACCTCCCTCCCATCCCTGGCTCATGTGTGTTCCACCGTTCAGGCTGAGTGAGCCCATCACCACCCCGAGTTCTCCATGCAAAACAGCAGGTGCTGCATTCCCACAGAGGTGAACCCACAATTGCTCTACAGAATCTGACCCCAGGGCCCGGCGCGGTGGCACAAGTGGTTAAAGGTCCTTGCCTTGCACGCCTGGGATCCCATATGGGCACCGGTTCTAATCCCGGCAGCCCCGCTTCCCTTCCAGCTCCCTGCCTGTGGCCTGGGAAAGCAGTCGAGGACGGCCCAAAGCTTTGGGAACCTGCACCCGCGTGGGAGACCCAGAGGAGGCTCCTGGTTTCAGATCGGCATAGCATCGGCCCGTTGCGCTCACTTGGGGAGTGAATCATCGGATGGAGGATCTTCCTCTCTATCTCTCCTCTCTGTGTATCTGCCTTTCCAATAAAAAAAAATAATAATAGAAATAAATCTTTTAAAAAAAAAAAAAGAAAATATGACATGAATTTACCCAAACTTATATTACTTAAAAAAAAAAAAAAGAATCTGATCCCACATCTGATTCTGTCTGTTTGGTGGGTGCTGCTGCCCCAGCATTCATGGATGGTACTGCAGCCTAGCCCAGCCAGGCATAAGCCCGCCCCCAGTCCCGTCCCCCCCCCCCAGCTGTTATGTGACTCATTGGAGGGCAGACGGTGCTGTTTAGCCCAGCCCAGGTGTTCCATGTGGATGGGTGCCTTGGCCTGTCCCAGACATGTCCTCCGGTACCCCTCTATAACCCACTCTGTCTTCGCTTCCTTGCTTTTCTGTGAGAGCAGTGGTCCAGTTTCTGGAAGACCCCAGAAGTCATTCTTCCCTTGTCAAACAAGACCTCAGCTACTCCCACTCCACTCCCCAGACCCCCTTTCTTGGGCCATCTGTAACCACCTACCCAACCTGGGGGCTGGATGGCATGTCCTAGCCTGGAGTTGCCCACCTTCCCCATGTATCTTTAAAAAAAAAGCAGCTGTGCTAGCACCCTGGTGCGGTGTGCACAAATGTGGTGTTAACCACGCTGTTGGCTGCTTTGCTCCTAGCAGTGTGAAACTTGCTGAGGTGCCTACAGCTGGGATGGGGGGAGTTTTAGTTTTATTAAGTACCTTTCTTCAATTTTATTTCAGTTTTTGCTTTTTTTGTCTTGGCTGAAATTTTGCCTAACTTAAGTTTTCTACCTTTTTTTTTTAGCTTCGTTTTGGGGAAAATTTTATACTTGCGTGTTTATAAAAGTGATTCATCTTAAGGATGAAGTGTACTGAAAATCTATTTTTTTCATGTAGATAGCTAGTTTTAGCATATTAATAGAAAATATGATTTCTGATATTGCCTTTGCATATTTGTCAACTATCTGGGGGAAAAAAATCAGTCACCCTACATTGTGTTACATTGATGATTATATTTCCAATTACAGTTAAAATTATGTAACTCGAAAACTTTGAAATGAGATACTATGCTTCCAGTTTGGTTTACATATGTGTTTGAAAGGGAGAGGCGCCTTTTAGCTGCTGGTTCAGGGCTCAGATGGCCACAGTGGCCAGAGCTAGGCCGTGCGGGGCTGGTCGTTAGGGCTCGAACCACATGGGTTCAAGGACCCAAACACTTGAGTAGAAGTGGGACTGCTGGCACTTGAATTGGTGTCATTGTGGGATGTCAGACAGGGGCTTAACATGCTGTTCCACAATGCTGGCCTCTTTTTTATTGTTTTTTTTGCTGTTAAAGATTCTTCATATTTTTTGTTTGGTGCTGTTAGTTTTGGGAGGGATCATTCAGATACTTTCATGTTTGGATAATTGAATTTTTTACGGTGCTTCCAGAAGTTAGTTTTGGTTGTGTTTAAAGTGTTTTCACTTTGTTTTTGTTTAATCACTCACACTACAGCTACTGTTTTACAGCACAGCCAGCTTGTTCCTTGTCAGACTTGACCTTCCCTTTGTGAAGAGATTGCTCTGCCCAAGTTGTCACAGGCCTTACTTCTCAGTCATGTTACCTTCTCTCCTTCTTGCTGATCTAGTCCCATTGTTTTCTCCAGGGAACTTTTGTTTTTATTTGAAAGGCAGATTCACAGAGAAGAGACAGATCTTCCATGAGCTGATTCACACCGCAGATGACCGCAGTGGCTAGAAGTGGGCCAGTCTAAAGCCAGGAGCCTGGAGCTTCTGGGTCTCCCATGGTGGATGCAGGGGCCTGGGGACTTGGACCCTCTTCTGCAGCTTTCCCTGGCACATTTCCTGGAAGGGAAGTGGAGTTGTTGGGAGTAGAACTCGTGTCCCTATGGGATGATGGCTCTGCAGGTGGAGGCTTAACCCTGGTGTCAGCCCCATGAGATGTCTTTTATAAGGGCATTTACTTACCCTGTTGAGGAGGTCTCTAGCTGGTGACCTGAGTACCTCCCAAAGGTCCCAGTACCATCATGTTTAGGTTTAATTATATTAAGTTTACTATGATTAGTTTTTATTTTGAAAGAACATAGATAATGTAACTTATTTTGAACGTTTAGTGTGCCTCAATTCCTTGTTATATTTAACATTGTATTTTCAAATTATCTTTCGTTTTTATTAATTTGGTAGAAAAATGATTTATTGCTTTTCTATGTTATACTCTTTAAAAATTTCTTTAAAGAGTTCCTTTTTTTTTTTTTAAAGATTTATTTTATTATTTTTATTGGAAAGGTGGACATACAGAGAGGAGAGACAGAGAGGAAGATCTTCCGTCCAATGATTCACTCCCTAGTGAGCGCAACGGCCGATGCTATGCTGATCCAAAGCCAGGAGCCTCTTCCGGGTCTCCCATGCGGGTGCAGGTTCCCAAAGCTTTGGGCCGTCCTTGACTGCTTTCCCGGGCCACAGGCAGGGAGCTGGAAGGGAAGCGGGGCTGCCGGGATTAGAACCGGCGCCCATATGGGATCCCGGGGCTTGCAAGGCGAGGACCTTAACCACTGCGCCACCACGCCGGGCCCAAGAGTTCCTTTTTGTTAAAGATTTGTTTTTATTGGAAAGTCAGATTTTCAGAAAGGAGGAGAGACAGAGAAGATCTTTTCATCTGCTGGTTCACTCCCCCAGTGGCCACAGTGGCCAGAGCTGACCTGATCCTAGGCCAGGAGCCTGGAGCTTCCTCAGGGTCTCCCATGTTGGTATTGGGGTCCACGCACTCACACTGTCTTCTGCAGGGAGTTGAGTGGGAAGTGGAGCTGCCGGGACTCAAACCTCTGCTGACATTGCAGGCAAAGGCTTAATGTGCTAGGCCATGGTGACGGCCCCACGCTCGCTTCTGTGCTTCTAGTTCCGGAGGGTGATTTGCGCCTTTGATCTTTAAGAATGGCAACTAAATACTGTCTACAAAAGATTTATTTTTATTTGAAAGGCAGATTTTACAGGAGAAGGAGAGACAGGTCTTCCATCTGCTGGTTCATTCCATAGGTAGTTTTAGTGGCTTAGACTGAGCCCTCCTGTGCTGCTCTCCCAAGCCATTAGCAGGAATTTGGAATGAAAATGGAACAGCCAGGACATGAACTCATGCCCATGTGGGATGTCAGTGCCACAGGCATAGGATCAGCTTGCATCGCACTGACGCCTATATGCTTAAATTTTCAAAATCAGCAGTTAAATACAGAAGCAAGTATTTGGCTTTTTAGCTTAGTCTCTTGTTAGGGTCCCCATATCACATTTCTGCCCCTGGCTCTTGTGATTCCGGTCTCCTACCAAAACAGAATTGGGAGGAGAGTGGGGATGGCTCCAATGCTTCTTGTCATCCTTGTGGTCCAGCCACCCGTGGGAGTCCTTTAGGGGAATGAACCAGCACATGGGAACTGTGTCTCTCTGCCTTTGGAAATAAACCAGACTATAAGTTTTTTGAAAAAGAAATGGTTGGCTTAGCGGTATAACATTGCTGCTTGGGCCGCCCACATTACATGCCACAGTGCATGGTTCTACTGCTTGCTTTCTGGCCAGCTTCCTGCTAATGCTTTCCCTTGGGGGCGGCAGGTCACGGCTCACCATGTGGGAGACCTGGGTGAAATTTAGAGCTGGTTTGGGGCTGGTCTGATGTTGGCTGTGTTGGCCATTTGGGGAGTAAAACAGCAGATGAAAGGTTTTTAAAGATATTTAAAAGTCAGTTTTTCAGATAAGATGAAGGAGATAAAGAAGGTGCAGTTAAAGTGCTAGCTAGCATCCCTTACTGTAGTACCTTGGTTCTGAGGTGGATTCTGGCTCCTGAATTCTGCTTGTTTCTAATGCAGACTACAGGAGGCAGTGACGGCTCAAGTCATTGGTTCCTGTTACTCACATGGGAGACTGAATTGTTTCCAGCTCACAGCTCCCATCTGTTGGCAGGGCCTCACTGCTTGGGCCATGGTTTTGTGCCTCCTAGGGTCATTAGCAGGAAGCTGGTGTTGGAAGCAGAGCCATGATTCGAACTCCGGTACTCGCAGGTGGCGTGTGGATATCCCAAGTGGGGTGGTGACCACTGATTAACTTAAAGCCGTAACCTTTTCAAAAGGCAGTTGTGAAAATTCTGGCGGACAGAAGGAGATTGGTGGTTGTGGCTGGTGTAAAGCATGGAGAAGGGGGCTGCATACATAAAACTTGGCTTAAGTACCCATTTTTTTTTTTTAAAGATTTATTTTTATTATTTTTTTTTATTGGAAAGGCGGATGTACAGAGAGGAGAGACAGAGAGGAAGATCTTCCGTCCGATGATTCAACTCCCCAAGTGAGCGCAACGGGCCGATACTATGCCAATCCAAAGCCAGGAGCCTCCTCCGGGTCTCCCACGCGGGTGCAGGTTCCCAAAGCTTTGGGCCATCCTCGACTGCTTTCCCAGGCCACTGGCAGGGAGCTGGAAGGGAAGCGAGGCTGCCGGGATTAGAACCGGCGCCCATATGGGATCCCGGGGGTGCAAGGCGAGGACCTTAACCACTTGCGCCACCGCGCCGGGCCCAGTACCCATTTTTTTTAAAGATTTATTTTATTTATTTATTTTTTTGGAAAGACAGATACACAGAGGGAAAAAAAAAACACAGAATGATCTTCTATTCACTGGTTTACTCCCCAAGTAACTGCAATGGCAAGAGCTGAGCTGATCTGGAGCCAGGAGCCAGGAGCTTCTTCTGGGTCTCCCACCCGGGTGCAGGATCCCAAAGCTTTGAGCTGTCCTCTACTGCTTTCCCAGGTTACAAACAGAATGCTGGATGGAAAGAGGGGCTGCTGGGGTTAGAACTGGCATCCATATGGGTTCCCCGCAGATGGCACGGCAAGGACTTTAGTCACTAGGCTACTGCACTGGGTCATACTCCTTCTTTTTTTGTCATACTTTGTTTTTTTTATTATTATTATTTTTATCTTTATTTTTTATACTTTTCGTCATACTTTGTGTTAACGTTAGTAGTCACACTGTTTCATAATTGTCAATTAATTTATCCCTTTGTTTTTCTGGCTTTACCTATATCTGCTTCAGTAAATGGTTACTGACTGATTTTTGAGTACATACAAAATACTTTTGAAATAGCTTGTTAAAATACTTTATTAAAGGGGCCCAGCGCGGTGACCTAGCAGCTCAAGTCCACCTTGAATGCACCGGGATCCCATATGGGCGCCGGTTCTAATCCCAGCAGCTCCACTTCCCATCCAGTTCCCTGCTTGTGGCCCGGGAAAGCAGTCGAGGACGGCCCAAAGCTTTGGGACCCTGCACCTGCGTGGGAGACCTGGAAGAGGCTCCTGGCTCCAGATCTGTGCAGCACTGGCCATTGCGCTCACTTGGGGAGTTGAATCATTGGACGGAAGGTCCTCCTCTCTGTATATCTGACTTTGCAGTAAAAATAAATAAATCTTTAAAAAAAATACTTTATTAGGGCCTGGCGGATAGCTTAGTGGCTAAAGTCCTTGCCTCACATGTGTTGGGACCCCATATGGGTACCAGTTCTAGTCCTGGCAGCTCTACTTGCCATCCATCTTCCTGCTTGTGGCCTGGGTAAGCAGTCGAGGTGGCCCAAAGCTTTGTGTCCTGAACTTGTGTGGGAGATCTAGAAGGGGCTCCTGGCTCCAGATCAGTTCAACTCTAGATGTTGCAGTTGCTTAGAGAGTGAATCAGTGGGCAGATCTTCCTGCCTGTCTCTCCTCCTCTGTCAAATAAAAATAAATTTTTTAAAAAATTAAAAAAATAAAATACTTTATCATAAAGTGGGGTGTTGATTCTAGGAATTGTGTTAATTCTTGCTCTTTTGTGTCCAGGACTCCTCGCCCTGTGATTGTAGAGCCTATGGAGCAGTTTGATGATGAAGATGGCTTGCCAGAAAAGCTAATGCAGAAAACGCAACAATATCATAAGTAAGATTTTACTGATAAAGATGCTTTAGATGTGTGCATGTGTGCTGTGACTTATATCATTATTTCGCTTGTGCTATCAAGTATTGTTGGATTATCAGGTGTCGCTGTCCCGCAGCGACGGACTTGGTGCACGGAGCCGATAATAACACGCGTGGACCCTGACTGATGGTCAAAGCCAAAGTTTATTAGGGGCATCAGACTTTATACACTGAGAGTCCGTATGGGGTAGGGGAGGAAGTATCGAGCTCCCAACAGGTATACAAAAGGTAGCCATTTGGTTGTTTCTTATGCAAATACTGCCCAATGAACTGCAATCCTGTGCTGCTGACCTTCCAGGGACACAATGTCCTCCTACAAATCCCCCTTCTGTGTTTAATAAAATTATGTCTGAGAATTGTAGTTGGGGGAACATGTCCTTGGAAGGGCAGAAGCATGGGGAGAAATATTACATATCATAAAAAGATGACTCCACCAGGGACCACACACCCTAACTGCCTATCATCCCATCTAGCTCCTCAACATCCTTTTTCCCAGGAGAATGAACCCTGGCTGCTGTCAGGAATATGGGCGACGACCGCTCTGACTTCTTCATGCTGAGAGGGGACTGAGAGAGGGAGCCACAGCAGCCAGGCATTCTCCAGGGAGTGCATCTGGGGTCCCTGGTAGGAGGTAGAAAAATAACAGCTATAATTTCTCCCAAGCTAACATAAATCAGAGTCTCACAGGAACAGTGAACGGTTAACATCCATCATATGTAACAGCTGAGTATAAACTTAACATCATAGTTTCTATACAGTTAGTATTAACAGTTGATGAAAGTTTTGGGGAGAATCTCAATTTACAATTTAAACCTTTCCATCTATATAATTCAGAAGTGAGATTTTACAGATTTCTATGCATTTAGGGTAATCAAAACAGTTTTGTGATTCTACCAAATCATAGAAAAGCGTTAGACAGGTGAGCAGGTAAATCTCCAACAACCTAGTGAATGAGGAAGAATTTAACTGCACATCCTATTAGTCTCTATCCAAAATAATTGTGGGGCTCACAAGCCTGAAGGCCGTGGCAGCAGTGATCGGGGTAACCAAGGCGTTAGTTTAATTTCTCTTGAATTGTGGCTTGAGACTTACTCTGAATTACTGTTCACTTTTGTTATAGTTTACCATGACAGTTTTTTTCCCTATTACAAATTTGAAATAAAATGCCCTTTAGGAATTAGAGCACTAGAATTAAAACAGCGTTACAAGAAGTGGACTTTAAAGACAGTGTTGATGTATGTGATTTGGTTATCCTGACAAACTTGGTAAGGTGATAGTCCAAATTTTTATTATAGTTCGGCTAACGGGAAATGCTCTTGAAACATTTGAGGCAAGTTGAAATTCAATTTTGTTCCTCAAACTCTACATTGTTTCAGTGGATTCTTTGGGTGAAAATGAAGAATTTTTTTTTCCTTTAATATTTTATTTATTTGAATGAGTTTCAGAGAAAGAGGGAGAGAAAAGTCCTCCGTTGGCTGGTTCATTCTCTAAGTGGTTGCAGCAGCCAGGGCTTGGCCAGGCTGAATTCACGAGTGTTTTCTGGGTCTGTTTTGTGGGTTCAGGGCCCGAGTACGTGGGTCACACTCTCCTGCTCTCCCAGGGTGCACTGGAGGGAGATGGCCTCTTAGTGAAGCAGCTGAGACATGAATGCTGTCATCTCGGGGGTTGGCTTTACCCAGTTAGAGCAGGCTAGTTGCATGTGTGTGTGTGTGTCTTAATTATTTTTATCATTAAAAAGAAATATTTAATTAATTAATTGTATTGGGAAGTCAGATTTTACAAAGAAAAGGACAGACAGATGGATCTTCCATCCACTGATTCATTCCTCAGATGGCCCCAGCAGCTGGAGCTGAGCTGATCTGAAGCCAGGAGCTTCTTCTTGGGATCCTGGCCCGTGCAAGGCAAGGACTTTATCCACTAGGTTACTGCACCGGGTCCAGTTCTATCACTTAATAGTTGAGCATGCTTGGATTGTCTCTCAAACCCAGACCTGCATTGCAGTATTGTCATGAGATAATTCATGGAGAGAAATTCTCAAGAAGTGTTACTAGTTGTTACTGTAATTTACTGTTGCTTTGCATTTGAAGCATGCATTTCTGTATTTTTTTAATGTAAATGTAGGGAAAGAGAGCAGCCACCACGTTTTGCTCAACCTGGAACGTTTGAGTTTGAATATGCGTCTCGATGGAAGGCCCTGGATGAAATGGAGAAACAGCAGCGTGAACAGGTGGATAGAAACATCCGCGAAGCCAAAGAGAAGCTAGAGGCAGAGATGGAGGCAGCTCGGCATGAACACCAGCTGATGCTAATGAGGCAAGGTAAGAACGGGCTTAGGTGTGTATGTGGTGTGGATTTTTTTTTCCTATGAGATTTATTTGTGTCTCACTTATGTGTTTCTTAATTTAATCTTTTTAGACATACAATTGGAGTTCAACCTTTTGGTAGTCAAAATCTCTTTTACAAGAAAACTTCCTTAAAGCACAACTCAATAAATCATAAATTTTTCATATACAGCTAGTATTGTTAGGTGCTTGAAGGTGTGGTGTTAAATTTGGTAGTGAGAAATACACAGTTCTGCTAGCAGAAAGAAGCAAATGTGGGTATGGCAGTTCTTGGTGGATAGATGTGTCGTAGAATCAATCACATGCTAAGATTTTGGTGGGCAGAAGAGGACAGATGCTGTCCCTCTCGATACTTGATTTGAAAGGCAGAGTGCAGGTTCCTTCCCAAATGCCTGTTAGCAGCTAGCTAAGCCAAAGCGGAGCTCCCTCTGGATCTCCCACACAGGTGCAGGGTCCCAATGCTTTGGGCTGGAGTTATTTATTTGTAAGGTAGAGATGGAGAACAATACTGTTGATCTATCGATCTTCCTTCTGTTGGTTCACTTCCCTAATGGCTGTGGTGACCTGGTGGGGTGTCCAGGCTAAAGCCATGACCCAGGACCTGCCTCAGGTCTCATAGGTGGACTTAGTCCATTGCACTATGATACTTGTCCCTGATGTTTTCTTGGTTTTGGTTTGAGTTTTTTGATTGTTGTGTTGTTTTTTTACAACCTGAGATTATTTCGCAATAGGCATTTTGACTCACCAGTTGAGATGCGGTGGGGATTCTACGTCACCGTGTTGAAGCACCTAGGTTCCAGCTGTGGGCTTGATACGTTTTTCTAATGATGCACACCCAGGGAGGTGGCAGGTGACTCGCGTGGCTGCCTGCCTGCCTGTGCTTTGGTGGGGACCCGAGTTGAGCTGCTGTCACCCAGCCTCTTCCAGCCCTGCGTGTTGTGGCTCTTTCTAAACAGTACTTACTGGTGGAAATCTTTCGCAAATAAATAACAAAACGAGATTTTGTAAATAAAGTGTTTGGTTTAAAATGAAGTAAAATTTCTCTCCTGATTGCTCCTTCATAAGCTGTTGACGGTGCACCAGGAAGCTCATCGTGTGGGAGGGATATTCGGATTTTAGGCAGTTTACCATTAGTCCTTGTGTTTGGTTCTTCAGTTTCTTCTGATGTTGCCCAAGGTTTATTTCTGGAGTTTGCATTTATTGCCAAAAAAAAAAAAACATTGTTTAGAAATTTTATGAACAGAAAATGAGTTAATATAGCTTACTTAAATATGTGTTACCATTTTAATTATAGCAGTTGCTACCCATTTTAATGTTTTTCTATATATATGAAGAAAAAAACCCAGAAGGCATATTTTTAAATGATGTAGCATGTAAGCGTTGTAAAATGATTTTTACATAGAAAGAGAAATATGCAAGTGTGAGTATACAACTGAGTATATTGCCAAAAGCAGAGACTGTATTACTGTCAAAGGGAAGTTAAAATTACTAATGTGTGATTAATATTTTGTAGATCTGATGAGACGTCAAGAAGAACTTAGGCGCTTGGAAGAACTTCGAAACCAAGAGCTGCAAAAACGGAAACAGATACAGTTGAGGTAGAAGAGCTTACTATATTACGGGCATGAATGTACATAGTTTTCATTGGATATATTACTGATAAAATATGCCATTCTGCACCATTAAAAAGTTATGCCAGTTGAAAAACTCACAGATATACTCGAAAAAATGCTCAGGGTTATGCACAGTCAGAAACTCCCAAATCTGCCATCATCCTGTTAGGCTTTTTCAGCCAGTAAAGGGCCCTTGATTGTTTACTCTGTGAAGTTAAATAATGGACAAAGACTTTAAGCCATGTAACCCAAGCCTAGTTGTGTGCTGTAGTTTGTTTTTTGGTTTAGTGTAGTTATTTTAAGGTTGCTTGATTTACTAATGGTTTAGAGTAAAATAGAATAAGATAAACTAAGAATGCCATGGCCTCTTGTGTGTCACTGATTTGACACATGGAACGGATTTATTTAAATGTTACTTTTGCATGGCATTATGACTCACAGTGATGAATTTTTTGCTTCAAAATTTCTCAGGCATGAGGAGGAGCATCGTCGTCGCGAGGAGGAAATGATCCGCCACAGGGAACAGGAGGAGCTGAGACGGCAGCAAGAGGGATTTAAACCCAACTATATGGAAAATGTAAGTACAGCACTGAAGTGATCAGAACAGACGGTGGCTCTGAAATTCTGTAGATTTTACTTTCTAATTTTTCTGAATTTAGCTTTCTATAGGAACTGAATTAAAATTAGTTTCTAAGGATAACCATGACATTATCTTTTCATTATTTTAGTTTATCTTTATAAAACACGTATTGTTAAATTAGAAGTCTACAGACATCATCTCTGCCTGATTTTACCTTACAAGGATATAAAGTGTTTTCCTGTGGAAGATCTAAGACAGCGGGAGGAGTGTGTGGCTGGAACTGTTGTAAGCACACGGCTGATGGTTTTATTTTTCAAAGTATACTTAATTTCTTAAATTACTTTGCATGAAGTACTCCACATTACATGATTTCATTCCGGATTATGCAGCATATATCTGAAAGAGGAGAATGCATTCTTTTGTTTTGTTCAGGCCTTCTGAATTTGTAACACTGCATAGGTAGAGCTTAGATCTGCATAGATCTCTTACCCCCCCTCCCCCCCTTTAAATTTTTGTTATCTGACATGTCTAGTTTTTAAAGCCCATATATTTTTCTGTTCCTTTCTGTTTTTTTTTTTTTTCCTTTCTTTGATTACAGCCCATAGCAGCATCGTGTAGGCCATGTCATGTGTTGGATGTTACTGACTGCATCTTTGCACACAGGGTAGTGGTCATTTGTGAGGCACACTGAGAGAGAGCAGACTCGCCTCCATTGCCTCCTGCCTGGTGCCTGCGCTGGGGCCACCCACAGTCCAGGTCTTTTGGCAGAGGGCAGTAGTCCATTTCCTTCAGCTGAATGCGAGAGTTGAAGCTGGGAATCCAAACTTGACGCATGAAAGGATGTGACCATCTTAGTGCTGAGGCTGATTGCCCACTCCAACCTTGCCACAATGAAGAATTCTTTCCTTGAGCCCTCTTTTAGCTGCAAAAGGGCTTAATCTGACGTGTATTTTGCTTTCATTGGCAGGATAGTAGAGCAGACAAGACTGCCTCAAATGTGTTAAAAAGGTGCTAGTTCTTAGTGCTAATTACTAGGATTGCATTGTTCACTTTCCAGGAACGAAATCTTAAGCTCTGGAAAATACTTACTACAATCTCTGTCATGTTCAAAAGCCAGTATGCTTTAATAAGAATTTATTTAAGCTTCTTACTGCGTTTCTGAGGCTCAGTGTATAAATATTAATTCAAATCAGAGGAGTTTTTTTTTAAACCTTAAATGGGTTCTTTTTTGTTTTGTTTTAAAGCCAGAGTGCCAGAGATCACTGGTGTGTTCCTCAAAATTGTCGCAACAATTAGATTGTGATAAGGCCAAATTGAAGAGCCAGGAGTGGCAGGGGCTGCTGTCCCACGCACGTTAGCAGGCTTTGCCACAGCATTGGCCCCTAGGTTTCTTTTTTAAAGAAAGTAATGTAATTGGGGAAAAAAAAAAAAGAAATGTAATTGAAAGGCAGAATTAGAGGGAAGGATTGATGGATCAATAGATCTTTCCACCCCTGGTTTAGTCCCCATTATGGCTGCAGCAGCTGGGGCTGGTCCAGGGCAGAGCCACGGAATTCTGCCTTGGTGTCCCATGTCAGTGACAGGGGACCAAGTCCCCAGAGTCTTAGCAGGGAGCTGAATCTGGAGTGATCAGCTCATTGGTGCTTGCGAGAGACTGAAGCCGCGTTAATTAGTGGAGTGGTTTAGTAGTCTAAAATTGATTGGAAATCATTTTTAGCATAGTGTTATAGCCATTTTGGGGTTTCCTTGGTTTTGTAACAGTAACTTCCTGAATAGTTGTCTTAGGTTTCGTGTAAATCTGTTGGATTTGTCAACAGTAGGATAGTGAAGGAGGCTACCAAGGAGGTGTAATCTAAAAACGGCCCACATTCACTTTGAAATGTCCATTCTCCCTGTGATGACATCGCAAGCCTTTTGTGTTATGTTCCTTACAGGATTAGGAAGTCCCCTTGTTCTTTTGTTTACTTGAGTGTGTTGCAGTATGTGTCCATAGTAAAATATGATGGAGTAACTTTTTTTTTGGCCTTGTTTTTTTCCTGGCATACGTTATACACTTCTGGAGTGGATTTTTACCAATTTATAAAAATTGCATATACCGAAATTACTATTTATAGGTCTGGACAAAATGATAACATATCAAGTCTTGTGTTAAGTTGGATGTTTAATAAATTTCAGCTATAGGCTCTTTGTACTTTGAGATGATTTACGATCTGAAGAACTTAATACCATGCCTTTTACTTTTCATGCATTTAATATAGGTAAAAATGATGCATAGATATTTTAGTTTTATTTTTCTTTCTTTACATAGTTGGAAGCATTGTAATTTGAAATTGAATTGTTTCAAATTATTTAAAATATTTTACATTTAAAATTCAACTTAATAAAGCTGAAGTTTCACAAATAATGATTGAACTTTGAGAGTAGATCAATTATATGAAGAGAAATACTCATTCAGTATGTTGGCATTTCAAAACATTCACAACATATATTCCTAGGAAGGTACTTTTTACGGTACTTAACTATTAAGCTACCTCATTTTCAAATAGTTACCAAAGTAAATATGTAATATAAACATAATAGAAAAATTTGACTAGAGCAGAAATTGGAAGGCATGTGCATGTTTTCATGCTCTCCCATCACAGGGATATGAATGGAGTTCTTGTTTTGAAAGGATTACTGAAAGAATTAATCGTGTCTGTGACTCAGAATCACTTAAAGTACTTGCTCTCTGGTCTTTTCCGTGTGAAGGTATTGAACTTGGATACTTCCGTGTTTTGTTCCGTGTTGTAGTAGCTGCGATAGGACACAAAGTAAAGCTCTTCATTTACTGGTAGAGCATCTCTTTTAAACAATGTTCAAGGAGCTATGATGATTTGTGTAACAGAACCAAACAAAAATTAAGTCTGTTTTACTGTAGTTTTTTTTTTACTGTAGTTTTTTTGTGATTAGAAGTTACATGAGTAGGCATACGGTTTCTATACTGATTTTTGTGTCTGTTTTGTTTCCTAGCTCTATAATGTTTCTTACTTAACATAAACTGACGAATACCTGAAAGAAATACTACTGCAGACTCTATGTTAACATGAAAACCAAATAAGAAAATACTGATTAGGAATATGCTTGAGGCAGTTGTATCTATTACTCTTCATTTTCTTGAAAGCTGTCTTAAAAAAATTAAATAATGTTAATCTTTGTTTATTTTTTTAATTTCCTGAAGCTTTGAAAGTAGATCTTCTTATGTGCTTTCTCTTTATTCACTTCTGTATAAAGGGAGGATTCCAGTGGTAAGTGTGCAGCTTGCCCACGTGACACGTCTTCTAGGATGCTACATCGTTTCTTTCTTATCTTCCTGTTAGAAATACTAGAAATATTTCAGTATAACTGAGTATAAAGCTTTGAAGTAAAATGAATGTCAGTGTTCGTATTTTTTATGTGTTAAGTAATTTTTCAATGTAACAGTATGAGGAATAGTACTCATGTTCGCTCATATTTTGTCAGCATTCGGGTTGATAACTTTATGATACACCTGGAGTATATTTTTCAGTCTCAGGGCATGTCTGAGCTTCATCAGTTTGAATTTGTCATTGCTTCATGCTGTAGTTTTCCTTTGATATCAAACTGATAATTACTATATATACCAGTTTTTACTTTTACAGAATAACATACTCTTGACTGCTGTGGAATACTGTGCCTTAATTCTATTGTGGTTTGTATTTGCCATCGTGTGGGGTGTGGATTTGACTCTGCTTTATAATTAGTATTATTATAATACTCTGCTTATCACTATTTTATAGTTTTTGAACATATTACGAGTGTTTGTTATGAAAACAATGAGAACTTTAGAAATGGTACTGTGACTATTTCCCTATTAGATTTCTTTACTTACTATAGATTATGTAAATTGCAGTGTATCAGTCTTAGTTTTTTCAGCCAGTTTGCATTGTAGTAAATGAAAGATTTTTAATTAGCATATTTTGTTAATGATGTTTTCTGCTAGTCAGTTTTGCTTCTTGGGAAAATATTGGTATCATACAGATAATTAAATATTTTTGTGGCTTCAGGAATTTGCAGTGCTTTAATGAAATTACACCAGTTGTTAAGGTTAGATGTTGCTTAGTTTCTAAGCCTCGTAAGTTTTCTATGTAAATATTTGTTGGCTTCTCGGTAAAGAAGGAATAGATGCTTAGATGTGCTCCAGATATGCTGCACCAAGCTAAGTCTGCGCATGTGTCTGACTGGACATTGAAGTGTTTGTGCTTCCACATGATTTATTATTTTTTTTGAAAGAGTTGTTCATTCAGACAGCAGAGTTTTGGATGCAGAGCCTGATCTCCTGCGCTCTGGCTGCAGTCTAGGACTGGGCCGAGCCCGACCGGCAGCCCGAGCACGATCTGGCTCTCCCTTGTTGGGAGGGGCCACCTTCTGTTGCTTTTGAAGGCGCAGTAGCAAGCAGCTGAGTCAGAAATGGAGCTTCTAGGCTAAATGGAGCTAAAGTGATACAGGAACTGGGATTGCAGTAACGTGCTGCACAGTGCTGGCTCCTTGATGATTGTTAACAGTGCTTTGGATATTCCATTGCTTGTATATAATAAACTCTTTTAAAAAAATCAATTTCTTACATCCTGAGACAAAAACTTTATTCAGTTGTTTTTCATTTTTCAGGTATGTTCCGTTATTGTCACATAGGAATTATGAAGTATGCCAGAAACTCTCGGGAAATGGGCTAACGTGCTGTGTCTTTTCTAAGGGCAGCAATCATTCAAATAATACATAACAAACTGCACAATTTATGATGTTTAAAGATTTATTTGAAAGAATGTCAAGTAGCAAGAGAAGGATGTAGAGTTTGATCTTTAATACGCTGTTCACTTCCTAAATGACTGTAATTGCTATGGCTGGGCTAGGCCGAATGTGGACGCCCGAGCTCCATGCAGGCTTCCCACGTGGTTGTGCCATCACCTGCCTGCTTTGCACCATTAGCAGATCTGGATCGTTTGTGTCCTTTGTATATGGCAAATGCGGTCACTTCTAGCTTGCAACATACCTGTGGAACTTAAAGAAAAGGGCCTCCAAAAAGGGCCTATTGCATTTTTAAAAAATTTGAGTTAGACAAGCCTGTAGTCATATGTACACATACAGAGTCCTTACATTGAAGGATCCAGAGCCATAGCTGGAGCCAGGGATTGAACCTGGGTACTTCTTGGAATGCAGACTTATTAACCTGCTGGATCCTTGCTCTGCCCCAAGTATTTGGAGTAGTAGATCTGACTTAGGTTCATGGGATCTGCGATCTAAAATCCCTTCCACTCTGCTTAGGTGGCTTTTGTTTGCTTCTGTTACCAGAGTTTGAAAATCAATGATCTTATGTCGAAATGACAGTAAAAGTCATTCATGCTTTTAAGCGTCTTAGTATGAATAGAAGACGACTGTGGTTTAAATACCACAACATTAATGTGACTAGTACCCTGTGAAATTTGGGTGCTATGGTAGAATTTGTGTGGCAACTTTGATTTGGCCTTTCAGAGTATATATTTGGAGGAGATGGTGTTTCATTCAAGTAGTACATTACTTTTGGTTTTGTAATTATTTCATTTTAGACCAGTGGACTTGAATAGTTTATCTCGTTGTGATTCTTTGTTTTTGCTGCTTTTGTCCTACAGGGCTGAATGGAGAAATGTATGACAGAATTGTGTGAGAGAATGTATGTTGAGCAGCCAAAAATATTTAATAATTTTATCTTTTACACTCAATATGTTTCCTCTAACGCCTGATCTAGAGCCGGTCTAGCCAGACTCATGGTGTTTGAATTGCAATGCGAATTTATTAACTTCTATGTTCTTTTCCAGTGTGTAGAAGGCTCCCTAAGCACAGCACATCATATCCTAGAGGCAAGGTTCCTGAGGAATTCAAGTTAGTGACCGCAAGGCTCATTGGTAGTTATGGCTCCAAGTCAGAGAAGTGAATGGGGAGAACTGGTAAAGGCTTACTGCCCCACACAGCTCTCTGGAGTTGCCGGGTCTGTCAGGTTCCCGTCAATAGAGGTGTAAAGTATTACTCTGAAGGGTTCTCTCCTCCTGTTGAGCACTGCCAAATCCGGTCTGTTATTGAACCAGCTACTCATTTGTCATTCTCTTTTCCTACTTCCTCCATGGGCGTTTCTTAGAAAAAATTAACAGTATAGCTTCTGCAATTCTATCGTGTTCTGAATTCCAAAGAAAAATTCTGATCGATAATGAAACGTTGCTAATTGGTACTGGAGAGGGAAACGATCTTTTGTAAATAAATGAATGAATGAACAGGTATGATAGAAACTTATTTTTTAAATGATGTGTGGATTTTTGAGAGAAATTGGTAATTAATACAATGTAGTAAACCTTTTCTATTTGCTGCAGCAAATAATTTGTGTTACAGTAGATTTTTCCGAGGAAGGTAGGGGGGAATGGTCTAAACACCTGAGGTCATCAAACAAAGGGCAGAATTTACAAAAGATTTTAATTTTCTCCTAAAAATCTTGTGAAAGTAGTAAGGGATTTACTTGCTATATGATTTTCTACTAGATTTAGCTTTGACCTGCTAAGCTGGTTACGTACTGCTGCGATACTGCTCGCCCAGTCCCCTGGTTTGGATGCGTTGGTCAAAGCCAGAAAGGATAATGAAACTTCCCTGGATAATGTTTGGTTCTGACCAGATAGGATTGTCAGTACATTTTCATTTATTTTTTTAACTAAAATAAATTTTTTTTAAGATTTAATTATTTTTATTGCAAAGTCAGATATAGGCAAAGAGGAGGAGAGACATAGAGGAAGATCTTCTGTCCACTGATTCACCCCCGAAGTGACCGCAAGGGGCAGTAGTGCACCAATCCAAAGCCAGGAGCCAGGAGCTTTTCTGGGTCTCCCACGCAGGTGCAGGTGCAGGGTCCCAAGGATTTGGGCCATCCTCGACTGCTTTCCCAGGCCACAAGCAGGGAGCTGGATGGGAAGTGGAGCAGCCGGGATTAGAAGCAGTGCCCATATGGGACCCCAGCACGTTCAAGGTTTAGCTGCTAGACCACAGTGCCAGGCCCTAACTAAAATAATTTAATTGATTATTATAAGCCAGAGACTTTCCTGAATGCTTAGGTGATACTTAGAACTTGATTTCCTTTTTTTTTTTTTTACTTGAAAATGTATTTATTTGAAATGCAGAGTTATAGAGGGAGCGAGAGAAAGAGAAAGAAAGAAAAAGAAAAAGAACCAACGAACGAACCAATATTCCATTCCTTTGTTCATTATCCGGATGTCCCCTGACTGGGGCCAGGCCGAGCCCAGGAGCCCTGAACTCCATCTGAATCACCCAGTTAAGTGCCACACTCCAAGTACTGGGACTGTGCTGATTGCCCAAGATGTGTTAGCAGGAGGCTGAACTGAAAGTGAGACAGTCGGTGCTTGAGCCGGCACTCCTCCAGGGCAGTGCTCTTACAGGCTGTGACGTTCCCCGTTTGACAAAACATGGGCGTTGAGTCCAGTAGAAGTGGGTGGTGATGTCTACACCTGTACCTGGGGATATTAATATAATATTCATATAATAATTAATATAGCAATAATATTAGGCCAATGTAAGAATGCTTTTCAATATCTTGATTGAAACTGATGAGTGAATAAGGATACTATTTTAAATTACTTTTTTGTTGTAGGCACAATTGGACTTTTTGAAGTAAACTGTGATGTATGATCATCCTAATCATGTGTTATGATTAAAAGTGGTACTTTTTTGCATAATCATTCATGAAAACATTTATTTTCTAAGTGAATTTAGGTAGGAATAATTGTTTCTTATACTTTACCAGAGGGTACTTGATTATACTTGGTTATTAAGTACCTACCAGATTGTGCTGAAATTGCTCTCTCCTTCTCCGCGTATGCTACTTTCTGAAGTGTTTGAGGTCTACAGTTGTATATTGCAGTTTTATATTAAAATATTGTAGTCATTCAGATGCTAAATCAGAGAAATAATGTTAATTTTCAGATGCCAGCACAGATCAGTTATACAGTATTCAGTATGGTTTGTATGCCACCACACTTTGCTGTTAATTGAATACTATAAACTGTATTTCAAATATTTCACATTTTAGAAAATTGTTGGCATTGAGGTATAGGTGCTGTTGTCTTTTTATAGACTTCATAATAAAATCACAAAATCGAGTAATTTTTACAAACCAACAGTTATTTGCAGATAACAAGTTTTTTGTGCTTAGTTCTCACACCTAACGTTTGAGTGTGCGGATCGTGCTTGAGTGTTCCTTCGTGGTGCCAGGCTTATAGGAAGATGCGCACGTTTCCTTTGGGGAAGAAGGCGTTGCTCGTTTCCCGGGTGGAGGACACAGAGCATGTTAGCCAGGTGTCGGTACAGGGATTAGATAAAGAACATTGAGAATTGAGAGAAAGACGTTTCCTCTTAGGAGCATTGGATAGTACAGAATAATCTCATTTTGGTGCTTTCTTCTTTAAAAAATGATTCTGGAGGTTTTTTCAATTGAAATGGTAAGTTTTGGTAATGTTTTTCCTTTTTTGAGGAATTAGAAGAGAGTTAAGATTGGCAAGTGGAAGTAATTAAACACATGTTTTTGAGTTAATGTATGTTATATAATTGATATGATTTTGTCCATATTAGTTGAATTAGTAAAATGTCTTAGGAAGGCATACAGATATGTTAATTCAGTTTTGTCACTAAGATTGGTTGCTTCTTAGTGTCTTCTACAATTTCTGTTAGGGCATATTCTGTTGTTAGTTCTATAGTATCACTTCAAATGTCAAAATTTTATGCTTAAATCAATAGGAAATGAGGATTTCGGTGTCCATGCTATCTTGAATGACTACTGAACAATAGGACATAGGAAGTGAGTTTTTACGCTCTATGTATGTTATATGGATGAAATGCATTTATTTAAGTTAGACTGTTGATGTCTGTTAAATTTCAAACCTTTTTGAAAATTTGAAATATTGAAAATATATGGGTAAGTTTGCTTGCTTTTCTTACTATTTTCTGTATTTTATACCTTATTTTAAATCTGGCCTTTTCTGGTTATAAAAACTCAGCCATAGTTTTATAAGATAATTTCTTTATTTGGTATACCATTATGTCATCTAATTCCTGATTTGAAGCAGCTGATATTGTTCCAGCTGCTGCTGTTAGAACTGCAAAGGATTGTTTTGTTTTGTTCTTTCCTTTTGTCCTTTCCTCTCTCCCCCCACTTTTGCTCCCTCCCACCTTCCCTCAGTCCAGTTTCAGAGAAAGAGCTTTCGTTTACCTCTTTACTTCCCCAAATGCCTGCAATAGCTTTGCCTGAGCTGGCGATTTAATCAGAATGGAATCTAGGTCTCCCATGTGGGTGGTAGAAACTCAGCTGCCTTAGCTATCACTGCTTCTTCACAGTGGCTGTGTTGTTAGCAGGAAAGAGGGATCTGCAGGTGAGGCAAGGATTGGAAACCAGGTACTCCACTCTGGACATGGTCATCTTTCGTTACTGTGAGGCCCAATAGCTGGTCCTAACATGCATTTCAAATAACTGCTTTTTAAAAAATAGTACGTATCTTTAAAAATCACTAGTTATTGAATATGTTTCTTTTTATTATCATCTATGCAGATGAAATACATAATTTATTAATTTCAAAGCTGGTAAACTGTTGATGATTTATCTCATCACAGTCAGAAAAACATTTCTCTGTAAATTTGGTTGGTAATTCTGTACAGACTGGCACTTAGGCCTTGCCTCTTTCTTTCCCCATAGCTTGCCTCTGTTGATGGGACCAATTTGGAATTGCTTTTTGGGCAGTGTGTATTTTTTTTTAATACTTATTTTTATTGGAAAGTCAAATATACAGAGAGGAAAGACGATGAGAAAGATCTTCCGTCCATTGATTCACCCCCTAAGTGGCCGCAATGTCTGGAGCTGAGCCAATCCAGAGCCAGGAAGCAGGAGTCTCCTCCAAGTCTCCCACATGAGTGCAGGGTCATCCTCCACTTTCACAGTCTGTAAGCGGTGAGTGGGATGGGAAGTGTTGTAGCCAGGACATAAGCTGGAGTCCATATGGGATCCTGGCGCTTGCAAAGGGAGGATTAGGCAATTGACCCTTCACGCTGGATACCAAAGCACTTTTTTCAGAATTTACCATAGCAGTTGAAAAGGACATTTTTCAGTCATTTATTTATTTCTATTTGAAAGGCAGATTTTACAGAGAAGGAAAAACAGAGAGGAATTTTTCCATCTTCTAATATACTCCCCAAATAGCCAGAGTTGAGATGGTCCAAAGCTGGGGGCCAGGAGTTCCCTGGTCTCCCAAGTAGGTAGGTGCAGAGTCCCAAGGACTTGGTCTGTCTAATGCTGTCTTCCCAACTTATAAGCAGCGAGCTAGATCACACGTGGAACCTCTGGGGTTCAATTCTTATGAGATATCAGCCCTGCAGGCAGGATTAGTGGGTTTTGCCAACATGCCAGTCCCGAAAAATGATATTAAACACACACACACACGCACACACACACAGTTTTGAAAGGCAGAGTTACAGAGAGGCAGGGAAAGTGAGACCTTGCATCTGCTCCTTCACTCTCCATGTGACTGCAGTGCTCAGGGCCTGCATAAGCCAAAGCCAGACGTCTGGAACTGTATCCAGGTGTCACACCTACATGGCACTTGGGACATGTTCCACTGCTTTCCCAAGTGCAGTGTCAGAATATCAGTGTATCAGAAGAGGAGCAATCAGTGGGACTCAAAACGACACTCTGCAGGATATTATAGGTGGTGGCTCAACGTGCTAGACCGCAGTGCTATACGCAGTGATGACAATTTTAAAGATGTCTTCTTGTATATACGTTAAAAATAAAATTATTGACCTGTTTAAAAAAAATTATGAGCGTGGGACTAAAGTCCATGCTTTGCATGCGCTGGGTTCTTATATGGGTGCTAGTTCCCTAGTTTGTATCCCGCCTGCTCGACTTCTCTTCAGTTCCCTGCTTGTGGCCTGGGGAAGCAGTAGAGGCTGGCCCAAGGCCTTGGGATCCTGCACCTGCATGTGAGGCCCGGAAGAGGCTCCTCTCTCCTGGCTTTGGATTGGTGCAGCTCTGGCCGTTGTAGCTACTTGCGGAGTGACTCACTGGATGGAAGATCTTCTTCTCCTCTTTGTACTTTCAAATAAAATAAATAATTCTTAAAAAAAAAAAATATAGATTGTCAGAATGTCTTGGATCTAGTGATGTGAGGTTGCAGGTTAA